ACGTGACCACATGCCCAGTCTGAGCTCTCAGACTATGTTGTACATGCCCTGCTCTGCAGAAGAGGCCTGGGAGGAGGGATGGAAACCAGAGAAGTAGTAACACTTGCGGCAAGTCAAACTGTTGTGTTGGGCTTGGCATGATGCTGGTGCCCTAGGATTTGGCAAAGGGAACCCTCATATCAAAAGAAATTAAAAAAGCTGTCCCCAAACTGCCAGAAGGATTAGGTGATTTGGCCTGTCTCTACTCCACACTCAGCACTGCTGGATATCCCCATCACTGTCGTGAGCACTAACCCCCGCGCTCACCGCCCTGGCAGGTCTCACATGCTGAGCGTGAGCCTTCCTCCCCCAGCCCCCCCCCTTCGGCACTGCACACAGCAGTGACACAGCGCCCACATGTTTCTCCTGCTTTGGGAAGTCTTGGCCTGCCAGATCAGCTGGCCACTTATGTGTGACTTCTTGGAGCTGGAGAGATTTGCCACGCTGGTGGGAAAGAGCCCCCAAACCAGAGCCTGCCTCCGTGCTGCTGCTCCTGCTCCTTGTCTCTCCCCATCATGGGATCCAGCACATGCAGCGTCATCTCCCTCATCTGTTCTGCTGCAAGCAAGTCCCATGTCATCCCAGAAACTGTGTCTGTGAGATTGTCTATGAAATATTTATTCCCCTTGCATTCAAGAGAAAAAGAAGCAAAACCCCTGCATAATATTGATGGAATCCCCGATAATCAAATATTGAATTATTTACAACATAATTGTGCAAGTGATATTCATGAGATCGCTTAGGGTGCAAGATGCAATTAATACATTTCTCAAAATTTGTGACTTCTACTTCAGACTTGTTTTGATGCATCGGTGAGTCCCTAAAAAACAGGTGAGATTTCTTTGCAGATCTAGAATATCCACAGACAGTTGAAATATCCACAGCCTTTTTTCAGAGTGCTGCTGTGAAATAGGAAAGAGCTCTTGAACCACCAACTTGCTGCTCAGCTAGCTGCCTGAAGGTACACATCTGGAGCCATTTTAGATATTGAGGTGAATCTTACCTGGCTGCTAGATGTTTCTCTGGCAGGGCACAGATCTCCCATGGGTCTTGTGTTACACATGAAACTCTCAGGCAAATGTCCTGGATACCCCAAGGCATCTCAGATGGCATTAAATACATATATGCAAGACACAGATTTGAGCCTCTTTGATCACTGGCCCCAACGCAGGGAGCAGTGACCAAGAACTTCAACACTCCCCACGCTGCAGCATCCTTCATCTCCTTTTTTACTGTAGTGCTTGCTGTCTAGCTGTAATACAGTACTTCATATGCACGCTAAAGCTTCTCCTTTCTGCCCAACCTACAGCAGATAGATTGGCCACTGAAGCCCAACTCACAGAACTTGGATTTCCAGACACAGAGCTTTTCTGTCTAGTCTCAGGTACACATGTTGATGTGGCAGCTATTTCTCTAATGCCCAAATTCTCTCACGCCATCTCTCCCTCTCATTAGTAAATACATATCTGAACACTGACATCTGGAATAGTCCACATGCTGTGTCTCTTAAAACACTCTTATATTCTATATTCCTCATTATATTCTACTTTTAGCAGAGCTTGGGGGGCAGGGTGGGAATCACCTCCTGCCCAAGCACTTCAGCAACATTTAGCAACCATCCCTTAAAATAACAGGATCTGAACAAGGCTCTAGGCAGTTTGTTTTGGCCTTAGGATGGTAACAAGCAAAAAAAAAAAAACAAAACAAAACAAAAAACCCCAAAAAACCAAAAACTCTGATCCAGTATTACAATGCTGTCCTCTCCATGCCTAATAATGCTCATTTCCTCTCGAGACGAGACACATCACGTATGTCTAAAACCCTCAGCCTATCCTGATTTACAAATTCTAGTACAGCTGTAGGTTTAAAGAGCCAGCCAAAAGTAATTATGACAGATTAAGGAACAGAGCAACATACTGCAATGGCCTCTTGTTAAACTGAACCATCTGATCCAAACCAAGCAATTTCAGCCCCTTGTTGAGCTCTTGCTTGTCTTGTTCACCATCTCTAGTGTTTTTCTGCTGAGCACCATCATCTGAACATGGTTTACTCAGTCATACCCAGACTGTCATTGAGCACCTTTGCCCATGATAGCACTGGCCTTGGCTGAGACAGCCAAGAAAGTTTTTTTAAATAGCCCACCACATGCAGGCCTTCACAGGTGTTGGGGTATTTTGTTGTGGTTTTTTTTTTGTTGTTGTTGTTTTTTTGTTACCAGGCTTTTGTTCCATTTAGAATTGGCAGGCAGAGAGGGACAATTAACATCTCTGCTCATGACAGAGGAAAATGCATTTATTTTCAGGCAGGTAGTTTTCCTTCATACCCGCCCTTTTCCTTAAATGAGAGGCAAAGGTAGACAATCAGACAACTTTGTTTGTACAATAAATGCCATACACCTCAAAAGCTGGTAAGATAACAAGGCAGTGTCTGCTTTACAGGCAGAAGGAACTAAAGGAGGAACAAGCAACACAATTTACCTGAAGGCACTGGTAAAGCTGGGATAAGGTCCCAGGTCAGGAAGGTGATTACACCTTTACAAAGCTAAAACTTAACTGAGGAATTTTTTTGTTTTACAAATTATTCAGTGTCTAAAATGAAAAAGGAGGCCATTTGGTTACCAAATAAAAGTACATCTGCAAGGTTTAACCTCCCTTCTCTTTTCATTTTGTTTGAAAGCGTATATTGAAAACAAGGTAAGGCTATGGCCAGCTCCACCTTCTAAATTCCTGTTTAGAAGAAGAACCAGATTGCTCTGAGACAAGTGAATGCAGATTTACCCTGGGGCTGAAGATGACGTTAGCTCATTTAGACCATCAGCTCTTTAGAAAATGAGCCCCAAGCACACCTTTACAGGACCCTTCTGCAGACTGTCTCTGACAACAGCAAAAAAGTCCCTACCACTGGATGCTCCATAGAAATAAAAAATAAGCCACCCCCCAGCACAACTGGTGCTTTCCGTAGTGTAAGTACAACCTCGGTCTCGAGGTGCTGTGTATAGCAGGGAAGGAGCTCTCAGCTTCCTAACAGCCCTGAATATGAAAGGGTGAGTTAGATGGCAGTAGGTTTTGTATACCTCACTATTTTAAGCACCCTAAACTAAGAGATGTGATCCCTGTTGGAAAACACTCCTTGCTATGAACAAGTTGACGAACACAGAAGAAAATGGGCATGCTTTCCCCATTTCCCGCTATCCATATTCAGTTGTCAATCTGTTCCTTTCCACTCCCCCTATTATTCTGCAATAGCTGTTAGTTGCTAAAGAAGCTAAAGAAACAATTAAGATGCTTCAGAAGAAGCAGATAATTTCTCACACGCAGTGCTGAGTACCCAGCAGATGTGACTCAAGATACAAACACGCTGTTTTCAGGGAAGTTTTCCCAAGGGTTTGGATAAAAATAATGAGAGATTTCAGCAGATATCAGGTTATTTTTACGTAGAAGGGCCCTACAAGGTATTAACAGGACTACCTGAAAATGCCATCATCTTGCATGTGGGATCCCATAGCATTAGTTGTGTATAATTGAAAAAAATTAAGCCAGTAGTCATGCTAGACAGGGATTGTGGCAGGAAAGTGGTAATGGGGGTTACAGCAAATTGGGTTGGTTGCAAATATCAGACACCTTCTGATTTAATAGAGGTTTTGAAAGCAGAACAAATGAGATGCCCACAGGGAGCACTTTACCCACAGAAGATAGTGGCAACTCTCAAGAGCCAGGAGTTGACCCATATGGTTTTGGTCACCACAGTTCAGCCAACAAGGAAACGATATAGTGGGAGAAATGCTGCAATGATCTGGAGCCAGATCTTGGTTGACACAGGGTGTTGCAGCTTTACTGAGCACATGGCCCACATCCAACATAAAAGTCCATGAAAGATGTTTCTTTCCAATATCTCCCTCCTTAATCCATCCCCAGCATCTGTCATCACACAAAAGGGGATGGAGGCGGTGGAGCCAGCATTACAGTAAGCAGCTTGCTGAGCCAGCCACAGACATTTGCCATCTTCTGGCTGTGACACACTGGACAAATTAGGAAAATGCTTTCATTAGCCTCACTCACCTGAAAAATAATCAGCAGCCAACTCACCCGAAAAATAATCAGCAGCAAGCTCAACTGGCAGAGTCAAGAAACAAAATCCAGTAGCAAATAGGTCACAAAGACAAACATAAACAACTAAGTCTGTGATGATCCACTATCCTGAACGGGTCTTCAATATCCAATACCAGGATTTTCTGCACTCAGACACATAAATCTCAGGCATTCATACTCTGCCAATATTTTAAGTCATGCCCATAAACCATATTTGAACAGGATTCAAGCTGATGAAAAGCAAGTTGTTACTTTTAAAGGGGTTTGGTGACCGTGTGAATGGAGCTAATGGATTCAGTCCAACAGATGACAATCCATTAAATTAAAGAAAAATTTGCCACCACAATTCTTAGTGCCAGGAAAGGTGTGAAAGAAAATATGGCCCCTCCAGGATGTGCACAACCATATTTCTGGTGCCACAGATGGTGGCTTGAATGGCTGAAGGCTTTTTACCTTACCTTTTCATAAGGCATAAAGATATTTAGTCTTTGCTGTTTTCAGGGAGACATTTTAGATACAGTAATCTTATGAAGAGACACATCCCACTTGAATCATTTTCAAAACAACTCTTCCTTTCAAGTCACCAACTCTCAGTGAGGGAGGGAGAAGAAATGAAGAAACATTGAGCCAAAGCCCATAAACAGATTTTGTGTGTGTGTGTGAGATGAGCCTGGGAAAAGCAAAACAATTCATCTGCCCAAGAGTGGCTTTGCAGGGAAAGGTTAAGGAATAATAGAGGGATTTAGATCACACCACTTTACACACATTTATGAGGGAGAAATTCAACACCCAGATAACAAATTCAGTTCAGGTTTTACTTCCTCTCTCCCTTTCCTCCCCCCCCCACCCCTGCCCCTCAAAGACGACATACCCTTCCATTTGTAAATTACTTTAATTTAAATACTTTCAGGTTAACAAAATGTCTTAACTTTGACATGCCCCAAATTACAAAACAGAAACAAAACCTCTTGACAAAGGGTAATAAAAAAAAATATAATCCAAGCTCAAACCTCCTCTCCTAAACTGGAGTTTATGGTCTGTGAGCTGGCTGCCCTCCAGAGTCTGACACAATGTCTGGAGCACCCAGAGCAGCTGGAATTAATTTTCTTCCTCCAAATCTATGCACTTTCATATGAAGTCGTGTTTTGGCACTGCTGCCTAAAGAGAGAGTTCAGTGCAAAAAATCTAACCCCAGCCGTGTTTCTCTGCAACCCAACACTCGCTGAGCAAACAACGAAAAAGGAGAAGAGGATGAAAAAAAAAAAAAAAAAAAAAAAAAAAAGAGAAAGAAAAGCCCTTTCCCTTCCCCCACACATACACAGATGACTGTACCAAACAGGGGGGCTATTCATGGCTGTTCAGAAATGGGTCACAAGGAGAAATATTTTGCAGATAAAACCAACACTTTTTTTTTCTTTTTTTTTTTTCTTTTTTTTCTTTTTTTTTTTTTTTTAAATAAACATCATGGAGGCCCCTGGAAGGCGCTGGGGATGTTTGAGAGTCGAGGTCCTGCTGATCCCTTCCGCCTCCCGTTTGCACGGCTCCCACGCCGGCCCCCGACGCGCAGCCCTGCTCCGGGGGGGGGGGGGGTCCGGACCCCCCCAGGCCGCCGTGGGGAGCCCGAGGGGGCGGCGGGGCCGCTGCTGCTCCTCGCCTGGGTTGGCGGTGGGTCAGAGGGGGAGGAGGGAGGCATCCAAGGCACTCCCAGGCAGTCCTGTCACAAAATCACACACTGGAGTTTGTGGGAGCCCGTGGCTCTGTCCCCTCGCCATTTGGTCTTCTTCTTCTTCTTCTGGCTTTTCTCTGGGATCTGTTGCCTGTTTCGGGAGACGGGGAGGGAAATACACAGATGAGACACAAGGCTGGGTCAGACATCAGCATCCAGAGCCCTGGGTATCCAGAAGAACTACATCTTGGCGTGCATGTGTATATTTGCATCTATATCTCCATGTACCATTCCACCACCACGTGGCTTTTGATGCCACACAGCTAACAAGACAACTGCCTGCATTTTTAAGGAAGCAGGAAAGAAGCCATAAGCAAATATTAAGGCTAACGGCAGGGATATATGTCCTGCCAGAGCATCGTGCCTCCAGTTGCCCCGGGTGAACTGCTGCCTCCTCCCCTGCCAGGAGGCTGCTCTAGGCAATAGGGGTGCAATGCAATGTCATCCATCACACCGCTGCTAACGTTAGGGAAGAAGATGAAAGAGATACAGAGTGCACAGAGAAATAAACCCTCCTGGAAAGATCTGCTTTCAGCAGGCATTGCCCTTAGCCAGCTGCACTGCTATGGACTTGGTTATGGAAGGGGGGGGGGGGGGGGGCGCTAAAAAATAATAATGAAAAAACAGACTTTGCTGATGATGGGACTCTGGCCTCCCCTGGAAGTTGTGAAGAGCACCAGAGCATGGAGAGTGTGCCGACCCCAGAAAGATGTCCCTGGCTGTCTGAAGTCACAGCCACCAGAAACACGGGGCTGAGCGCACTCCTGCACTGCGCCGCGGCAGCCCCCATCAGTCCATGGGGGTTGTGAGCAACCTCTAAAATGTCGTGTTGAGGGCTTCTCCCTTTTCATTTAAGATGAGGCATCGCCCAAATGCCTGTTTGCAGCTGTACCTGTTTGCAGCAGCCACTCAGCTACCCCAGCAGTGCAAATTCAACAGAAGGCAGCTTTGTAGTTCAAACACCCAACAGGCAGCCCGTCAACTTAGATTTTATTGTAAGATAAACCATACAAACACTGGCAGCTTCCGTAGATTCAGTGTCTAAATAACCAACCAGAGAGTTTAGATAGTTCAAAACCATCCTCTTTGCTATGTAATATGCCAGGCACTAAACTAAATGTTTAGACCAAGTTATCCAGACCAGGATGAGGCATAGCTGGGGGACAAATCATTATGGCTTTAGTTGGTGTTTTTCTTACAGCCTCAGCTCCCAAATGCTTGCAACCACCTGAAAAACTCAGCTTTGACTAGTAAGATTATTTTTTTTCAGTGAGTACGAAGGCTGGAGGCATGAAAAACAAAACTTTAAAGCTCAAAACTAGAAAGCTGAAATAAAAAAAATACTTTAAAGTTAATTTGGATAAACACTAAGCAGCTGCAAGCTGTTCAGAGTGTTCTGGAACTGCTTTAGAGATCCAGAAAACCACGTCCCATGCCTGCTCAAGATTTCTGCTGTGACACTGCTTGTGTATACACTGCTGCAGCGCAAAAGGGGTATCAGGGAATTCAGAAGATCTATTGGGCAGACTTAATCACCCTACTTCTTTCTGGATTACTTCCAGACAACAGTTTCTTGCATGATGCTAAATAAACTGGGCATCAGCCAAGTGCGAGGAGCACAACCAGTGCCAACCCTGAACGAGCGTCCTCACCCTGCAAACTCACACTGCCTCTGAGGAGCCTCTACATTTGTAAAGCACTCCAGGAATGACACAGTTATTATGGAGCTGTAAATTTACATTTTATTTGGAAAAGCTCACTTAAAAAAAAAAAAAAGAAAAGCAATACTTGGTGGGTGATGCCATCCTATGGCTGCAGACAGTTGGCAATATCCAAAGACCAAGTGAAGCTGCATTGTAGGAAATGACCGGCTAGATCACACAGCATCTCTCTGCTGAATTAACCTGAGTTCCAGCTCTTGTGAACATCTCTGGTGCCCTTGACGCCATGGAGTGTTTCACCTGGCTGGCAATGACTTTCATGGTGACTACTCAGGGAACTGAGGTGCATCACCTAATTCTGAGGTTATGGAGTGCATTTTCAGGGCTTGAATTTAGTGCTGTCTCCTAACAATGCTCCTTCCAGCTTGTCTGGAGTCACGTTACATACAGAAAGCAAACAGAGCCTCACCATTTTATTTTGGCTGTTTTTTTTCCCCCCAGAGTAGAATAGATGGTGGTAAGAGCTCGCTGCCACACAGAAGTAATATCGAGCCAACTAATGCTGAGTTACAGAATAGTTAGGAAATAGCTTGGGACGTTTCCAGCTCAGCTCTGTAGTTCTCCAAAGACTTTCTGCCCCCTGCTTTTGAGACATGTGGGAAGAGTGGGCAGTACCATCTGCTTTTGATGGGAGGCTGACTCGAGGCTGAGCTAAGATATTCACAAGTACAGATACGCTGTGAATAAATGCCTCATGGTTTAATTGCCGAGCAACGCACTTTGACTGCATAGCGGGGAGGAGCATGATTTCAGCTCAGCACCCTCCCAAAACATGAAAAATGAGGGCCCAGAAAAATCTGGCAGACAACTGGTGCCAGAAAAACAAATCTCCTCAGAGAGATTTGAGGTTATCAGCCAAGACGCCGAGATGTGCGTGCAGCTCTTTTCCTGCAGGGCAGCTGGGATTTTGGAAGGCAGTCCCTCCCCGCTGGCAGCTGGAGCAGGGGTTCGCCCAGGCGAACAAAGGCAGCTCATGCCAAAACTGGGAACAAACCTCTGCAGTCTGAGGAGGAAACCTGTGGCTTAGCCATTAAGTCATGCTGTTTCTCACACAAAGTGGCTTATTTTTTTCCATTTAGTGAGCAGAAAATGTTAGAAGTCACTCACAACATTAAAATTTTGTAGAATTTTTTGCCAGTCCTTTTTAACCTCTGGCCACTTGAGACAACAAAGCTATGAAAAACCAAATTACTGGTCCAGAGCTTTAAACACTGGCCTCTTAAAGCTGATCATTATAGTAGGATTTATACTGTTTATTGAATGATATATTTTCATTATGGCCACAGCTAGTACTCAATCTGCTTAGCACTGATGTCCTTCAAGAGTAACTAAGTGCTAGTAACATCCCTATGGAGATACAGGACAAGAAAGTTTAATAAACCCCAGAAATCTCCCACCCCTAACCAAACCACCTGGCCCCTGCTCCCCAGAAGCTGGTTCCTGGCTCTCCAGGCCAGGACTCCTGCACATCCCGTCAGTGGGCAGTGGGCAAGTTAAGAGTTTGCAGCTTACCTTATTACCCTCACGAGATCATGGAAGGCCTTGTCAACATTTAGAGGTGGGTCCTTGGCGCTAGTTTCTATATAGGGAATCTGGAGGAGGGAAGTGTATCACGAAAGAGATTAGTAACAGCCTACATATTGGTAGCAAACCAGTTTCAAAATGAAAAACCCTAAAGGCTAGAGAAATCCAGTGCCTAAGAGACCAACCAGGGAAATACAGGTAAACAAAGTGTTGTCATGACACTGCTATCAACACCTTCACGCTCACAGCAAGGTCAGCGAGTGCTCACAAAAGGTCTGGAGTAAGCATCAGGCAAACCAGCTGCTATCAGAGCTCCGGGTTTGGGGAAGAATAATCATAGACTTCATGTCGTCAGATGGTCTCTCTCCTTAAGCTGTGCTTGCAGACATGAAAATAGCCGAAGGTTGTTGAAAGACGAGCACTTGCCAAAAATTCTTGCTTGCCACATTTTATTAGGACTACTGCATGAATATTTCATGACTACAATTCCCCTTCAGTGTAAAACGATCTTCTCCTTCGAAATCTGACAGCCAGATGGGGCCTCCTAGAGTGCTTGTCCAGCATGCTGGCAGATTTATAAAACTGCCTGTGATAAGGTATTTTCATACACTGCCTCTTCCAAAGTGTGTGCATACAGATGGGTGCAACATGTTGTGCTGCAGTTTAGGTGTGCTGGCTCCTATAGAAACGAGCTTCCTTGGGGAGGGGAAGGAGTGAACCTGCCCTGCCAAACTCCCATCATGGCTTGTTTAGAAACACGGCCAGCTTGCTGTTTAGGCACAGCAAGCTGCCAAGAGGTCTCAGGCTTGTTTGCCTTTACCTTTCCATTCAGTTCCTCCCATGGGAGTTGTTGTCTCCCTCTAGGTATTCGGGACTGCTGGCATTTAGAGGTGATTAGTGGAGTAGCATGTGAACTACACTCATCCAAGACCAATTTCTCATGCTAAACTACGGCATGAATAATGCAGATCTAAGATGGTAGGACAGATTTATACAGACTTAACAACCCTGTAACTTCACTATCTTTAACAAGCTCACTTCCTACAGACACCTGGTTATACTTCCTAATGCCTGACTCCGCCTTTTCACTTCAGGAAAGTGCATTTTCTTCCCTCATTTTGAACATTTCATGTTTCTCACCACTTGCAGAAACCTTGCACACATGGCTTCACGATGGCCACAGCTTTGCTACAGACTGGTGCACAGCAGAGGTTCTAGTTTCAATTATGAATTGGCCCTATTTAAAAGAAGCTGCATAGCTACTATTTTCTAGTAGTCGAAAATGTAATTGCAAACGTTCGATTGTAAGAGAAACGCTTTAATTCAGCTCTAAATGAGCAGAGAATCCAATTCTGAATGCATGTAATGGGACTTACCACAACCAATTAAACAATCCCTCAAACTTACATTATGTTTTGTTGCCATTTCTCTTCCCTGTTCTCTTGTAATTTTCCGTAAATGCATTAGATCAACTTTGTTCGCCACCAAAATCATTGGAAAGGACTCTCTGGAAAAAATCAAAACCACCATCCAATTATTAGCTGACTACAATAAAAAATGCTGAGCATAAGTTTCACTTTTTGATGCTGACATCATCTAACACTTTCAGCTGCAGACATACCACGTACATGTAAAGAAATACAAAGAAAGACCAAATGAACACACATCAGCCCCCAGACTGTGCTACACATACATTCATATTGTAAAAATTTACTTGACAAGTTGCATGCATGCAGACAAACATTATTATTTGCAGGCACTTCACGGACTTAGTGTCATTGTTTTTGCAATGATAATAGTGAAGAATGAAGATGCAACTAGATGAAGAAAGAACTACAGAACTAGTCAGGAAATTAACTGAGACAGAGAGACAGATCTTAGAACAGGAGAACAAGACTGTCATAACAGTCAAGGAGTATCAGTAGCTGCATATCTTGGCAGCTGATAGTCACTGCAAGGTAATGAGGTTTGTTGGAGGAACTGGTGTCAGTTTGTGTCCTGATGGAGACTCATCCACTGAAAGCAACAGTGGAGAAAGAAAAGACGGACTCTGGGAGATCTGGCACTTAGTGAGGCATCTCATGGGGGAGAAAATGACTAGGTGCAAAGACCCCCATCAGATGTTAACCCAAGACACATTGAAAGACTGGCAGTGGTAGCTGGAAGGAGGCTGGAGGAAACTGAAGAGTCTTGCTAAGTTTCTAGATGCTACTACCTGCTACTGATCCTACAGCAAAAACCTGATCAACAACCATTCTCTTGTACCAAAACCATCTACTTCTGTAATAATACCCAGTATTTCTTTACCAAGCACGTAAGTGACTGTCTTTGGACACTGATTGATAAGAGACCCATCTCTCCACAGCACATCCAGTGCAAAGCTCTCCTGACGAGGTGTCTGGGTCAGGCTCTTCCCTGGTAGAAATAACCGTAGCTCCAGTGACTAAACCGAATTGAGCCAGCTCGTGCCACAGGCGTTCCTGGCAATGGGGATGCTCCTATAGCTGCATGACACACAGAGCAAAGTTGTGCTGCAGGGCCTTTACCCACTGCTAGGAGGGAGGAGGTCCCTTCTGATAATGGACAGTTATTGCAGTATTGTTTTCCTATATTTAACTTTAAACCCTCCTAAAATGATTCCAGTGTTCTTTGCTGTAACAGAGCTGATTTTATTGGGGTAAGGAGCAGCTGGATGTACTAATTTCTGCAGAAAACACTTCCTTGAGTAACTCTGGATTTTCAAACAACATTTCTGTGTCATTTTTCATCAAGACGATAAGGACTCCATCTTCTCTCTGGCACATTGCCCCATTGCTCTGGCTGGAAAAATACCGTACTGCACTCTGCATTTTAAATGAGTCTTACAGTTATTCATTCTGGTAATGTGGCTTTGATTTAATTTTAATACCTAAGCATTGATATATCTTGACTCTGATCATTCTGGAGCAAAACACTTGCTTGCATGGATTATTTGATTCCTTTTTGGCTTGCAGCACGTTGATAAGAAAGGGATTACATCTGGACAGTATCTCATTTGCCTTGTTTACATCAGGCATAAAACTCTATGGGGATTTTGTTCCCTGTTGTAAGCTGTACAATTGCTAGTTGGACAAAGCTACTACAGTTGGAAGTTTTACTGTAATAAAGGTTATGGAAAGGAACAGGAGGAAGGCTTTGAACAGCTCTGCTAACGCAGCAGCCTGCAATTGCTTCGGATCTTAAATTGCCAAAAGTGACTGCAGCTTGAAAACCTGGGGGATGCTCTGCTCCCAGCTACCTGCTGGTCTGGCACGACAGTTTCTTTATTCGTGCTGCTCCTACTGCTGCGATTTACTGAACGAGCTCAGGCTTTGGATGAAGTGTTCAGCTCCTCACATTCTGTGCTTCGGTGGCATTGAGTGGGGAAACAAAAACAACCTCACCAGCCGGTTTCACTTCCTGATTCTCACACGCCGGCCACGGTGTCTGCATGGCGTACGGAGGGCTGAAAGTTTCAGTCCGGAGCAAAACAATGAAAACTGCATCCTATTTTCACAAAGTTAAGTTAGATAAAACCGACATTGATTTGGGGAAGGTTACAGGAAACGCTGTCCCATCTTCTTCAGCTTTCAGAAACAGACTTGATTTGCCCCAAGCTGAGCTGGCAGTGAAGAAAAGACTGTCAAGATCCAGGACTCTGACTGACTGACTGATGTTTTTCTTCATTTAGATGCAATCAAAGGGTGGATTTTCCTTTACTTTTCACTCCTGAGGGCTCTGCTTTGGATGCTTTACTGGAAGAGCTGTCAGCTGTGAACCTCACATGATACGAGTCCACCCTTCCTGTGAGGAAGTTATTCAGAGCTGCGAAAGGAAGCCAGCAACAAGGCCCAAACCCTCTGGTGGCTTTTCTTGATGAGTTCCATAATTAAAAGCCATTATGAATGGAAAAACTAAGTGTTTCAAAGCTGCAGACATACAAGGGCTTAATTCACACCCCACCCAGTGGGGATGGATTCATCACCTCTTGAACTGCGATGGGAAGAGGGAGTTATCTCAGAGATAAACGGGCAGCTTCCCCCTCACTCTGTCAGGACGTATTTGCTTACCACATTTAAACTCTCAGCACTACCTTCTCCCATGCATGCACAAGGAGGGGAGTGGGTGATATCTCTTGCCTTCTCCCCAGTCATGCAGAGATGTTTTTATTCATTGAAAATGGTTGTTGCAGAGCACAATGCATTAACTGCATTACACCCCTGTTCCTTCCAACTTGAGGCTTTTTCCCCTTAAAGACACTTGTTCACAGCCCCAAATCATGCAGGACCTTCTAATGCTTGTTTGATGTAAGCTGAAACCAGGGAAAGGAGGATATTGCCAGGACACACTAAACAATTAGGGCCGAATGCTTGCTGACTCTGCTGGTGTTCCCAAAGTGCCTGCACTGTGCACAGAGCACCCTTCCTCCCTCTTCACAGCCAAACTGATTACCTTCAGAGGTGTCTGACCTGCCTTTCTCACACTGCTCTGCCAGGCTGTTCTGGTAGGAGTTTCTCCCTTCCAGACCCATTTTCACTTCACCATAGCACTACTGAACTTTTCCATATTGAAAGCATTATGTGCTTATTAGAAGAGGTAAAACACTTATTCCTCACATGTCGGTCCACAACCCCCCATACAGGGATTTGCCCTGGGATACCCAGGAGGCAAAAGGCAGGGCAAGACGTGCAACCACCCCACGGCACGGTCTCCAGAGCGGCGGAGCGGGGTGGTCAGCGCCTGGCTCCACGGCACCCACCTGTCCTTGACTCTGAGGATCAGTTGGTGGAACCGGTCCACGTGCTCAAAGCTAGCCTTGTCCGTCACCGAGTAGACTATAAGAAAACCATCTCCAGTCCTCATGTACTGCTCCCGCATTGCGCTGAACTCCTCTTGACCTGCAGTATCCAGAACTAGGACAGAAGAGACGAGGGTTTTTAGTTACTGTGAGGACCTGCAGCTGCTGCCACCGCTATGTGTCCTACATCGCCTTTCTGCCTCCATTGGTCTTGGTCCTCTCAAAGGCTGCAACATTTGACAAAAGCAAGTTGGATGGACAAGGTGTTTTTTTGTTACAAAACAAAAACCACTCCCAGAACCCACTCATCACCGTGTGCCTATACTGGGAGTGGATGGAGTGGAAGAAGACTACATGGATTTTACTTTCCTCTTCCAGTACCAAATACTGACCACTGAACTTGGGGAGTTCCTCCTCTGGCAAGATACAGCTCAAAGTATTTCACAGCCCTCCCATATTTCCTTCTTCCAGCTCTCTCCGTTCCCCGCATGGAAAAAAACAAGGCCAGTTTAAATGTCAGGGACAGTCTACAAACTGCATGGTGAAGCAGAGCTGGGAGACAACACAGAGTAATAGCTACAAGCATTTTCCTTTTCTCAATACCTGGATATTATTTCTACACAATTATGTGCTTTCAGAGCAAGACAGTACAGCCTTGAAGAACACCTCTTAAGTATTTAGTCCCAAGTGGCGTGATGATATTGAGAAGCTAATTAAAAAAGGTGGAAAAGCTTTAAGTGACTTGTATATCCTGTACAGAAATCATGTTTCTGTGCGTTGACAATGCCTAAATCTATGCTCAAATCCCCTAAAACACTCCTGTTGTGGCAGCAACCCAGATGCTGCTCCCCAGTGCACTAACCTCCTCTCCAATGTGACCATAACGCACTGGTTTCTCCATCACTCTGCCTTGTAGGGTGTCCCACCAGCTACATCATGGACCACATGTGGAGCAAGCTACACCAGCCTTCTGGGCAAACACCACATACTACTGATGCACACAGCAATGGAAATTCTTGGGCCCCAGCTTTGCACGCTGTCAGGATTTTGACTGGCAGGAGGAGGGTATAAGAGGAGTTCATCAGTTTAGGTTATGCTGGTACAAACACGGAGTGAGCTCAAAGGGCATTGGCTGCTCAGAAGTAATAGTTGTAATGCATCGTTGTATCCTAGAGGCAAACGCGGGGCCTTCATGACGACTGGGAACATTTTCACATCCCAGTCAACTGGGCTGGGTGGGAAAACTGTTTCCGCCTCCGCTGGGCAGCCACAGCGTCAGCATCTGCTGCCCACAAGTGATGGGGAAAGCCCAGGACACCAGTGGATGGAGACTGTGGCAAGAGCGTACTGCTGACGGAGCAGCAGGGCTTGATATGGGTTTTTCTAGTCTGAGCAGGCCCACAGTCCTAGCAAGACGTTCCCTGTAGGGGTAAGTACTCAGGGTGCCCCGATTTCCAAATGGGGACAGGATAAAGCCCACTTTGCTGGCAGTGTTACCTGCTAAATCAGCACAGGTGGACATGTTGCATATCACAGCACACCCCGTGAACCAGCCCACACACCTTCACCATATGTCTGGAGGAAAGGCAGCTATGCTGGAGGACCAGGAGGACCTTACTTGGTGATGGCAAGCCCTTTAAAGCCTTCAGCCTCATCCGTTCACCTGACTTAGCTGGTCTTGAATGTCTGTTTCCATGAGCCCTTAAGATGAAAAGAGCTTCTAGGCTCTTGCATTGATTTAGGCTTGTTTGGCAAGTAGCTGGAGCTTGCTGGAAAGTCACGGGTGTCTCTTCATAGCCTTTCATCCTGCTTCTCCCCTCTAAATCTAGGAAACAAGGGTCTCAGCTCAAAGGCATCCAGGCTATTCTTAAGGACTGTACAAAAAAGAAGAAAGAAAAACAACCCAAAGACACTGCATGTGCTGGCAAATTTCTATGTCCTGGGCAGAACTGCTAGCATGGAGTAAGGCCAGGACCGCGTGGCTAAGACGGAAGAGGAAATTAATCCTTCCTACCTGCTCAACCTGTAAGGAGAGGCTGGGCTGCCCTCATCTGACTCCTGCACCAGCTGGACACAATGTCAGGGCAGGGCTGAGAGCTGACAACCAACACACACACAAACACACACTCCCTTCTCCTCTCAAACACACATACCCAGCTTGTGGTGGAGTGGGACTGCTTCTCGCAAGGGCCGGGCTCTCCCGCCCTCGCTCCCCCCGAGACAGGGCAGGTGCCCGAGCACAAGCCGTGGGCAGGAAGGTGGAGATGGATGTGCCGTATCCTGCATGGTAATTTGCTTAGGGACTTCCCCTTGCTCTGGCACATTTCCAAATCTCCCATAAGCATTCAGCTCTGCTCCTGCACCCCATCAACCCATCCCCAGCTGCTGCCCCTCCAAAGCTTTGCATCCTCTGCAAGAGGGAGGAGACGAGCCCTGGCGGGGGACTGTGGGGATACCCAAGGGGCAGCATGGGGCTGTGCTCCTGCCACTCCTACATTGCCTGGATCTTGGCCATGGCATCACACTAAATACAGGCAGAGGTGCTGTGTCAGCAGCTGCTATTTAAAGGGAATTCACTTGCAGCATTTGAGGAAAGGCGAGCAAGTCCAGGCAGCATTTAAAATGGCACTTTGAAAATGCAAGTAAAAGACATGCAGCAGTTAAGGTGAATCTCAGATCATGCAAAGTTAAGCATCACATGGATGGCCAGAGAAAGTCATTGTTTTAACTTTAAATGTGCTCTTCATAAAGACAACCCCGCCCCCCCCCCTTCCCCAATCCTAACACTTCTGTCCTACATGAATTGTAAATGATCAGAGAGGAGAGTGCGATCTGGATCCTTTGTAGGCAGGATGGGACCACATCCTGGAAAGCATCATCACCAAAAAAGGGCCAGATGCAAGCAGCTTTGCTTCCGGTGCAATCTTGTGGCATAAACGCTTCAAGAAGACTCTTACCTACAGAAATGGGAAAGTAGCAAGGAGAAGCCTTGGGAAGGTGATTTGACTGGCTTCCCAAAGGGGTGAGGAGATTTAGGGTGTTATCTAGCATTCGCCTTCTTTTAAAATTCCCGTTTCTGCAGATGGGATGCCAGAAGACACAGTAATAATCATGAGCAGAGAACTGTGAACTCTCTCTTCCCCTGCTACACTTTAAAACAGCAGTTGCCTCTTACTGGCAGTTGCCCCATTGGCAGCACATAAAAGCCAGTGTGGAAACAAGTCTTTGGTCCACCAAAGCACAGCGGGTTTCCTCTACCATATTCTTCCAAGAACTGAAATCAGATTCATAGGCTGTGCAGCGCATGGTCAAGGACTTCCAACAGCAAACTTGGTGAAGTTCCCACAAACATGACCAAGGGAGCAGCAAAAAGGAACGTTAACAAAAGCGTTTGGGTAAAGGCTGAGGAGAGAGAAGCCGAGGACTACGTCTGATGTAGGAATAGACATCCAAAGACAGCAAAGCCATTTTACAGAGGATCATGCAATCAGCTGGAGACTAAACTAAGAACAAATAGGCTGTGAGAACACCGCAGGGGGGGTCTCCTGCTTTGCAGGTAAGATTGCTGAGTGAAGAGATGGCCTTTTCTGCTTTCCAGTGGATGTGAACCCAACTGTTATGATGAACTCCTGTGCTAATTGAATCCTGCCCCCTTAGAGCTCTACACACCATTTTCCTGTGAATCCTGATGGATTAGGCAAGAGTGCAGCTGCTTAGAGAGCACTTCTGAGCAGACACAGGAGCCCAGGAATACACAGGAACTTGTGCCCCAAAACAGAAGCACTTGGGTGCGTCCAGGTATTTTATGTGGCAATGTCTCTGCAACCAACAGAGCTCTGAGTGCCCATCCAGAGGCACAGGCATGTAAATCTAAGCCAAGGGCAGACACATACTATGAAATTTAAGTCACAGCATTGCTTTTTCTAGAACCTTGGCTGGATTCAGTTCAGATTCAAACACTGCCTTCCCAGCCTTCGGGGAACTCAGATCTGGTTGTGCAGGTGAGTTCCTCTTCTCTTTTCACACCTAGGCAAAATTCCCTCCTACGTCTTCATCTTTACATGTTAAACCCCTTTTCTATTCTTTGGCCCTTGGGTTTCACTGCCCGAATCAGACACCAGCAGCCTGTTCCGAGCAGCAACTGCACATTGCTGCAGTCAGTGCTCAAAGCAGCTCTTGGAGCACCTTGCCTTCCAGCACAACAGAAAGCTCAGGGACAGGACACCGTTTGTTATGCCTACCTCGATCTCATGCTCAGAAAGGCTAGCACAATGTATACGACTTGTTTTTTGCAAGCAGTCTCCAGTGAAATCCCTTTGGCTACATAAGTGCAGAACACGTGCAAGCCTTTAAGGGGCTGGACAGGTCAGCAGGCAGACAGGAACCTGTGTTCATAGCACCAGGGAGAGAAGCAGCACAAAGAGGTCTGACTCCAGGTGTTTTCCGCTTCTTCAACTTCTTAATATGAAATACAGGAAAGGTCCCTGGAGCAATGAGCAGAACTGGGAATGTGGCACTGTCAGGGGACCACAGGTTACACAGCCAGACTCCTCATGGCACTCTGAGTGTTGCTTTCCTCTCGGCACAGCAGCTCTGCTTCAAAAGGTGAGGCCAGAGAGAAACTCCATCCCCAGCTGCCCTGCAGCTTGGTAGCTAAGCTCAAGGGAAAATTTAACTTGATTTGACAAGTCAAAAGTTTCAGGCTTAGGAAAGCCATCCCCACAGTCTTCGTCTTCCATCAACAGTGTGGTGGGAAAGGGCATCTCCCATCACCCACTGGCTTCAGCTAAGGAATTAGTATTCTGGGCACTGAGCAGATGGATTGCAGGGACCATGGCTTATACTCTGTATTCCCACACCCCAAGTCACCCTGAAGAAGCATGAGGTGCCCATGCTGTGCACAAGGTGAGGCAGATGCTTCGCTTGGTCACCGATGCTTCAGCTCCTTCTCAGATACAGCCATACTACCCACAGCATGAGAGCTCTCCTCAGGGAAAAACACATGACTAGGAAACACTGGGGCTTTTATGAGCCCTTCTTCTGTGCCCTAACTAAATACACAGATGTTATAACATGGAAAACCCAAGTACTTGAATTCTTGCCCTTTCTTTAAGGAAAAAGAAAAGAGGGGCCTTCAGAAGAAAGGCTTCCACATCAATGAACAGAATAAAGATGCGGGCCCTTAAAGGAGCTCTTTCTTTAACAAAGGGCAAGTATTCAAAGCCTTGTGTTTTCCATGTTGCAACATCAAAATTTTCCTGGCAGGAAAAACATCCCCACAACCCAAGACAAAAATCCCTCTTTCAAAGTTGCAAAATCTCAGCAATTAAGGGAGGGAAAATACTGTACACACAAATAAAAGAATGAAAGTACAAACTTCATTTGAATTTTAATTCTTTCAGTGATGCTACCCAAAGTTTAAATAAAAAAAAAGAAAGCGAGCTGCAAACCAACCCTTCTGCCTGCAAGTCTGAAGTGACCTTTGTTCTCCCTCTGGCCTCCTGGCTGAATTGTTCCCAAGTTTCCTGAGGAGAAAAGCAGACAGCCTGTCCTGGGATGACTAGCAGCAAAAACCCTTGGCAAAAAGGGATGCGTGGGAGACATGGGTGGAAAGGACAGAGAGAGGGAGCCTGGGGGAAGGAATGGTGCTTGGTGTTACTCCATGGGGGTGCACACTAGGGCTGTGCAGGTCTAGCCCTGTGCAAGGGCACCCAGGGATTGAGAGGGGGTCTTGGGAAGAAGAGAAGTAAAATGGAAAAACGAAGCTCAGGATTAGGAAGACAACTTCTAAGCAGCGAGAGTTTCATCTAAATTATGGCAGAGGAAAGAAAGGGAAGAGGAGGCAAACCACAGCCACCTTTCACCCAACACACAGGCACAATTCCTTGCTCTGCTGGTATCAACTGGCACAGCCCTACTAACAGCGAAGAGTTTAGCCCAACTCGTCAACATGCCCAAGCCATGTGCTTGTGGCCATCTCTTCCTTTCCACCTTTTTGTCTCTGTGTGGTTTATGACCCATAAGGAATTCTGAACCACTGGGATTTTTTTGTCATATTAAGGATTCCACTTTTGGCTTCATGCCCAGATTAGTAATTCCAGACTGACATTTTGCAGCCACACCAAAAGAAATCCTCTGTTAAACTGCTAAATTAGCCTGCACGCAGAAAGGAGTGTACAAAATTAATGATAGCAACTCATTTGGAGCAACAGCTAATCAAAGCAGATTAACCCTGGCCCCCACTTAGTTCTAACCTGATGTGTCTATACAGCACCTGCGTGTGAATGCATTCAACGAAGCACATCAGCATGCTGATTTCAGCATGAACAGCAGGGAATAAATGAAGATAACATATGCAGAGGAAACTGGAGGCTGATCTTAAAGCCTCGTTGGGGTGGCAGCAACTGAAAAAATGGGCTAGCCACAAATTGCCTGCGAATCCCTTATTCGGGTTATGTGTCCTGTTCCACTCTACAACACTCGTCCTCCAAACACTGCACTGATGGTCTTATAAAGCTGGCATAAGGCCAACAATAAAGTATTTTTGTTTAGTGTTGGACTTGAATACACCAAACACTGGCCCGACAATCTTCTGGGAGACAGGGACCTATCACAGACTCTTCTTTGGTGAGAAAATAGACACAGAGACATGCCCAAGCCAGAGAGCAAATATCTAAAAGAAAGAGTTTGAACATAGGTTTGGCTCCAAGGCCTAAAATCTGAAATAAAAGCCTATTCCATTTAAGTCAGTGAGAGATTTCAGCAAAGGAAAAAAATGCAAGTCAAACATTTCATCATACTGCCAGTTAGTGCTATTGAATAAATGTGGGTGGAGGTCTTCATGGAGGGAAGCCAAATGTTTTATGCAAGTTGGCTAGCACAGAGTTTTTTACAACATAATGCTGGTGCAGATACCAAATGCTAGAGATGCTTTGTAGAGAACTGCTCAGGCAACAGCCTGGAAGAGGGTAGGCTGTGGCCTTTTTTTTTTTTTTTTTTCATGAAGTTGTTGGATGCCAATGTATTTGGCGCTTTTTTTTTTAAATAACTATTTCTGCAAACCTAGAAGCTTATGGAGCCCCTCATGCTATATCCTCACTTGGTAGTCTCATCTTCTAAAGCGAGTTCCTATTTTGGGGGTGGCAGCTTCTTCACACCAAGTACTGCATGAAGCATCAGCTTGTAAAGGATTTGGTCAGAAAGGACAACTGGAAAGTCTAGAATTTATCATGATGCATCTTTACCCTTCCTATCATGTTCATCCCTAATTTTATACCATAAGTGATTCATGCAACCACGTGTAACCACAACAAGAGCAGCTGTCCAAGTATATGGTGACGTCTGAAAATGGCCTACATCCAAAACCTATGACAGAAAGCTGCAACAGAAGACACATGAGATAGTTTTTATACCCTGTTTCTACTGCGTCATGCTTTTCCAAGAAAAATATTGCTTTTGTTCCAAAATTCTGATTGTTCAAAATCTCAAGTGGTAGGAAAGAGAAGAAGCTGCAGTTTCACTTCTGTGGCTGCAAGGCATCTGTGGGTGCACAAACTCTGAAAGTCAGGGACTCCCAACATGCCATTCAAGGCCACAGCCGAATTCAGCTCATCCTGAGTACAGCCACTCAACTGCAGTTGAGCAAAGAAATGATTTTTCATTAAAACAAAGGGTTAAGTTTCTGCTTGTTGGAAGACAACCCCTTTCCTCACTCCCACCCAGGTCAGTGTTGTTTTATGTTTTTTTGACTAAACAAAAATTCCAAATATTCAGTGGAAAATGCATTTTCTACTATAAAATAATTTACAAAAAGCTGGCTATTTCTGCCAACACCAATGTGTACAGCAGCTGCACTGTTATATCAGAAGACAGGGCATACTAGCAATGATAAAGGTTGCTCATTTTAGAAGGCTGGATTCTGGACTAAAAAAAAAAAAGAACATTGCTCATTTTAGAAGGCTGGATTCTGGACTAAAAAAAAAAAGAACAGATTTAGTTTACAGAAGGATTAGATTTTTCTTTTATACAACACTGGCATTTCAAAAATAAAGGAGCACAGGTACATTACATGATAATAAATTGAAAGCAGGTGTATCTGATGCAGATGACGAGACACATTTGGGCACCAATTTCACAAATATTCCCTCATACCAGCTCTCAACTACTAACATATTTAAAGGAACAAATGTTTGAAAGATCAATACTGAGTAAAGGCTGTTTTCTAAGGACCCTGGGGCCATTCGTATTCACTAAATTGTGTCTAATAAATCCTTAAGAGTGCAACTAAGATCTCAAATTTCCAGACCAAGCTTATGATCTTCTCAGCAAACCCCACCAGCCTTGACATTCTACCACTCATGTCAATTCCCCAGTCTTCTGTCCCTACGTGAGGATGATATATATGTAGAAACACTAAAGATCTTGAGCGCTTTCATGACAAGAGGGTGGAGGTAGAAACTCGACACAAGTGCGGTTAAATTTAGTTCAGTTGTGTTAGCGGCCACATACATGCATTTGGGTAATTAAGGCACAAAATATTTGCTTGCTTTATGTACTACCTAATTATTCTATAAAGCCAAACAAAACTTAGAACATTTAATAGCAAGATTCCCCTTATGGCTGTGGTCAGTTTATCTCTCGCAGCACAAACTAGTAAGTTGCAGCTTTAGGTAATATCAGGCTTTTTCCTCACCTGCAGAATCAAGGTTGTTTTTTTTTTTGGTGATGGCTGTTTTATTGTTTGGGTTTTTTTGTTTTTTTGTTTGTTTGTTTGTTTGGGTTGTTTTGTTTTCTTTTTTAAAAGGCAGTTTTTCTTCAAATAAGTGAAATATTTTGGTTACAGCAGCTCTTCAGGCTAATACCCTAACAGTGTTTAAATGAAATGGATAAATAGATGTGAAAACATCACACCTGAATGATAGGAGTTAAGAGGTGTTACAATTCTTCACTGTCGGTGGATGACAGTTTTGATTAAATGTTCTATCTGGTTATAACCCTTATTCAGTTACTCACTCACTGTTATTTCCCAGGGGAGGGGCCTAACCACAATGAAGTATCATTAGTAATAGCCACCTCACAGTGCTCTAATTCAAACTTTTGTAGAAGCCTACCCCAAACATTTATAGGGTTTTACACTCCTGCAAGAAACATTTCTGTGCAGAACTGGAACCAACTCAACTGGAAGCAGAAGCTTTGCTGGAGACCAGCTGCAGACCGCGTGCTGCAGCTCACAGGCCACTTTGCCCTCAAATTCCTGGCAACCCACTGCAGAGTAGGAGGGACACAAGGGCACAACATGCTGTGGGAGGCATTGAGGTCTATTTGCACTTATGCTCAGTTAGAAGGGAAAGGGGATCACGAGTGTAGTTGGCTTACCATCAAGAATTGCCCATTGCCCGTCTATTTCTGTGTGCTTCAGGTAGGAGTCTTCAATGGTTGGGTCATAGTCTGGCACAAAAATTTTCTGGAAAAACTGAATGGTGAGAGCGCTCTTCCCCACGCCACCATCTCCAACCACCACCAGCTTGTACGTGGGGAGGTTTTCGCTGGGAACGGCACTTGTAGCCATGCTTCCAGTGTGCTAAACCTGCTGGAGAAAGAGATCGTCTCAAATCACTTATTAGCAATGAAAAGAGGGCAACATGCACAAGACAGCTTCTACCTGCTAATGAAGCAGTGAGGATGAAGACAGTACTGACATCCAAAGACCTTCTGGACAGGAGCAGCAGCACCTACCCTTCCCAACAGCTCCACCACAACCCAGACCCATCACTCAGAAGTGCAAACAACCCCACCACTGTAGCTTGTTTACATCACTAATTGCCACCAAGTGTGTGGGAAAAACTTTTATCACCTGAATAACTTTCCTATAGGGGCTGGGCCCATGTGGCCATGCCAAAAATCACCTTGGCTCAGTGCAGCTGCCAAGCTCCAAATAATTTCCAGTTGCCAGTGATCAAATCCCAATGATAAGCCAGAGTTGTGCTATTCTTCACTGCTTAACCTGAGGTATGGCAAATATTAAATGGCCCATTACATCTTGGGGCCAGATCTGCAGGCAGAACCTGTGGTGATGGATAAAACCAGAGTTAAAGGTCTAATCCTGGCTCCATCAGCAGACAAAAATGCACTTAGCTGCTTTTTTCTCCCTCATTTTCAAGTTTGAGAAATAAAAATAAGAAGACAGCAGGCCAGGAAAGACAGGTGGTTTTTGTTTTGATTAAAAAAAAAAAAACAAAAAACAAAAAACACCCAACCCTGCTGTGGCAGGAAGACTGGTTTCTGTGGCTATGACACAGCCCAGAGAGCCAGGAGAGCAGCTTCCCCTGCAGCGCGGTCACACCATTCCCCTCATCTCGGGTGTGCCGCAGGGGAACTGACTCTTAAAAGAAAGAAGAAAAAAATTCACCAGCTGCAACTGGGCAGCAGCACACGTGTGTGGAGAAAGGAGAAGAGGCAGCCATTGCTGAATGGTCCTTTTCAATACTCAGCAGCAGTGACCGCTTATTTAAGAAGAAGCCGGGCGAGTGGTTTTATATGTATGCTACGAAGGCCTCCACCCACCCGTGGGCAGCAATGATGATCACTCAAATCTCATGGGAAATGGGTGGCCATCTCCCAGGTTGAAAGACCATTGCATTTTTGGGGAGGTTGTTCAGGCAGTTTTAAAAGAAAAAAAAAAAAAAAAAATCTATCCTAATGATAAGGCTCAAGAGAGGGCAGCCAATTTCCTTAGTATCAGTGTTCCTGACGCAAACCATCCAGCTGCAGTGACATGTTCTGCAAGCACTCACTCCCATCCAGTTTAGTTTTGGTCATGCCCTTTGGGCTGCTGGTGCTGGCTGGGGTCAGCACTGACGGGGGACAAGGGCTACTCTGGACTGGCTGCCCTCGGGGAACCTCCATAAACTGTAGGCATTCTGATCTGTATCCCCACCACCACCTGACACAAGCTTTTGGAGGCTTAACCAAAAGCAATACGGATTTTTCTTTGTTAAGAAGAGGACTTTAAATTTTTCGTTCTCAGAAACCACCGAGCAAGGCTGATGTGCTTCGTGTCACAGCTGGCCCAGGTGGTGATTAGGAGACAAGACTGCTGGGCTGCTGCGTGCACACTGCAAGTTGAGTTGCTGACTAATATAATTTTATTTCACCATTTAGTATAGAAAATAAAAATAAATTCCACCAGTTCCTTCATTTTTTGTATTTTCAAAACAAAACACTTTCACTCTTAATTTCCAAAGGGGCCCGAAAGCCAACTTGGGACCATTTTTCAAACAGACAAAAACATAACTCCCTAATCATTTGGTTTCACACTGAAGAAGATATTGGACTTCCACATTTAGTTTCTGGTTTCTCTAGTCGCTTTCTTCAAAATCACTTTTTCAGTTGAATCCAAATTATTGAACCATAAAAAGCACTTTTGACCTGGAGTACCTAGGGGTCCCACCATACCGTACACAGGAGATCTCATCCCTTGAGAAATGGATTTTCACAGTCATTTCACAGTTCTACTAACCAGGTTTTCCCTCCATTACATACCCACTTTCTCACACATGCAGGTGGGTTCATGAAAGGAGACAAAATGAAACTAGTTGTGAACATTCACACTTGAGTTTAAGTTTTAATTATGGGAAAAAGATCCTCAGGCCAAAACAGTTGTGGAAATTGAGCCATCATCTAAAATATAACCCCTCAAAACATTCAGTGTTAGCAGGTGACCTGAGGCATGCTGTGAGAACACCATTCAAACCACAGCAATGCCCAAAGACAATATCAAGATGATGAAACTTGAGTGATTCACCCTACGCTTTTTCTGTCCACAAGGTAGGCATGGGAACAAGGTTTCCTTGATGCTTCTTGCCTCTGATCACCACACCATAATCCAGCTAATGCCGGTACGACACAACTCTGGGAGTTACATTCCCACTTACAGTTACAACTCAATGACAAAAGAGAAAAACCCTCAATTTTTTAAACGACAGAATCTCCTCCATCCTCCCCATCACATTGTGCGTGATGACAAGGTACAGCCTGCACTTGAAGGACTTTGGCAAACACAGGAATAACTTCCCATATGCATAATCTGTATGTTATGCAGGTTAAATGCCTTGACCCCTAATAAATGTATTGGACATTTCTCCTTGATCCATATAGGAACTGTCTCAGTTTCTCCTCTAAAAAGAAAACCCTGTAAGAAGGAGAGAGGGGGCGATCACATAGGTAAAATCGCTGAAGCTAGTAAGAACTGCAAAGGCCTCTTGTCCAAGTAGAGATAAACCAAAATTTTCAGAGCAAGAAGAGACATGATCAAGTCTGATTGTTTCTAAACTATCTTTGGAGGAAATTCTTGAGAACAGTAAGCATTTCCACTGCAAGCAACAGCTGTGGGATGGGGAGAAGGAGACCAAGCACCAGGTGAAGTCTCAGCCAGTCTTACTGCAGTTCCTCACCATAATCCCAAGGAAAAGTTTCTTACCCCCATTTTTGGGAGAGTAAAGGAACTTTCTCATATTTACAAGATCACGCATCAATAAGCAGCATGCTTGGCTGCACAGAAGCCTATGAATTTCAACTAAATTTTTAATTTTTGCTTGGAAGACCAAGTTTTCTTTCCACATAATCCTGCTTGGCTCAGACGATCCTTACAGGCTCTTTAGGACAGAGACCCTGGCTACAACTCTGGCCCCCCCCCCAACATCTGATGACAATTTTTTGCTTTGCCCATGGCCAAGATTTCACCCCTTCCTTCTTTACATGGCGGAGTGGCTCCGGCCAGGCGGTATGAAAGACTGATTGTTACTGACATGGCAGGGGACAGGCCACAGATGTGAAAACCATACTCTGTTTGTGCACGATTTTTGACCTCATCACAAAACCACAAGCTACTGCTTGGCAGACAAGCATTGCATTTTCATTGACATTTTGTACCAGTGACTTTAACTCGCTCCTAAGAAGCCTCGAGCTTATCTTGCATGAAATGCTTCCCAAAGTACTAGGAAAATATTTAGCTCATTGTACAAACTGTGACTCTGCCCAACATGTTTATGGGTTGAATCGGAGTATTTGCTTCCCATCATTTCCAGAAGTTTGGTCATACTGTAAGCCTAAACTACCAGACTGAGTATTATGTAACCTAGGGAGAACAGCAAGAACTGAACTGAAAAAAATTAATTAAAACAAAAAATACAGTCAAGAACTGTAGGTTGGTTTGTTGAGCACACACCCCTGTATTTTAGGTGATGCTAGCATGAATAGACAAAACCTCTATTGTGTGTCAAAAGGCAGCAAGTTTAGATGCTTCTACAGGGCTGTTTCTCCTGCTCATGGACACACTCCTCTTTCTACTGAGATGGCAGGTCCTGTGCTCCCAACATGAAGGTACCAAATGCAAACCCTCCAAAAGCCAAGTACTTCAATCCCTCTACACCTCCACCTGCCCTGGTAACCAAAGCAAGAAGACAGCTCATGCCTTGACAAGATTATCATCTAAACCAGCTAATAAATCAAACCTTAAAAACAACATATGTCACCTCCTGGAAAACACTAAACACTCCCAAAAGTGTGCAGAGCTTCCATGCCAGCTGGTTACGTTTCTATGAGCAAGTGCACAAGACTTGGGCTGATTTTCATGTGTTTTTGGCAAGAGTACTGACACAGTCCTCCACAGACAAGAGCAAGAATAAGCGTGTTTGCTGTAGATCTGACTGAGAAAAATGAAGCACAGACATTTTTATCTATTGTTTTAATACAAAGCAGCATGTGGTAATACGCTAATAAGCTCTGATGATAATCAACTTACAATTTATATAGTTGTTTATTTTGAAGGAGCCAAGAGAAGGATCCATACCCTATGCTGACAAATGCCGTCAGGGCTCTGGTTAAGTCAATGGAAGGAGAATGATTTATACCACCGTCTTCACACATGCTGGCAAGATCTGTGATCTGACAGCGCAAGCCAGTAATAATGAGACAGTCAGAAATGTGGCTACTTCTGGGGTAGAGGGCAAGTTAAAAAGAGAAATGGCTGTCTCAAGAATGTCACTAAGGCTGAGCCTCCTCTGCAAAAACGATTTTTTATGCAGGCAGAATAAACTGCATAAAACCCCTTTTGCCTGTCTGGACATGGGGATGGAGTGGAAGGGCTGAACTATCCCCTTGGAGCAGCCAAATAATATAAAAACACCAAAGACGGAGAAATTCAGCTTAGTTTGTGCAACTGGACTGCCAAGCCCCACCAGGTCACCACAACATGTAGGTAGGGTATCTAATTCCCATCCTCATTGCAAAACTTGCCCTGAATGCAAGTGAGACATATCTCAGCTTGTGTAAATCATTATATTTTATGTTTATCTGAGCAGAGGCATGGCCACATACAACAATAATAAAATCAACTCCAGATATTTGGTATTCAGTGTGCAAGCACCCCTATCCCCAGTTCCAGCTCTGCCCTCCTGGAGGCAGAGCTACTTGAGCAAAGCCACTACAGAAGGAAATGAGCTCAGAATCAAGCCCTGGATTTGCAGAGGAGGCTAGTGCAATTAAAGACACCGGCTCCCTGACAGAGAAGCCCAACATGGCAGTGATTTA